GGGAAAGGAATATAATAAAGTCCTCACAAAAGTTTCTGACAAGTACTGAACAACTCGCAATGGAAGTTTCAACTTCCATAGATAAGTACAGAAGGGAATATGCAGAGAGGCGAGTTTTTGACAATACTGACCCGGTCTTATTCCACTCCAAACAATCATTTTTGAAGAATTGGGAGAGCATGCAAGAAGAAGATACTCCGTGCAAATTGTCTGGTACTTTCAACCATTTGCATATAATGGCAGAGAGTATACTCCCCGTAAGCGATTCGCAAAACCTGATCGAAACTCTTAAAATTCTGCTTAGAGAATTCTTCAAGCATCGCGTCCTAGTCACACTCAGCCTAAAAGGACATATAGTCTTTGCTTTAAAGCATTTTGTTCCGAGCTCACCATACAATTTATGTTTCCCTCAGAAGGGGATTCCAAAATGGTTTGATGATCACCAACTTAATAACTCTATGGTGGCAATTGCACTTCCTCCAAATCTAAGCCATGACAAGAGCTGGAAGGGGCTTGTCATATGTGCATCCTTTTCAGTGAATGAGAATCCAGACGCTTTTTCGAAAGGATCGTTCCGGGTTCTCTGTCACTTAGCAAGCGAAGGAATTTGCTTGAATCCTGTCGCGTTATGTTCTGTCACCAAAGATAAAATCAAGTGGTTGTACGTGCGCGGGTTCATTTGGTTGGCCTACATTCCTAATGTGATGCTCGCAGAGCTGAATGGAAAGAACAGTGTGGAGGCTAGGATTTACAGTCAGTACCCCGGCTTGATTGTCGACAAGTGTGGCATCCGCTTACTGTACGAGAAAGATGTGGAACAACTTAAGCAAACAATAATCCAGTGTTGCACTTCATTCGTCGAAGATTGGGATCTCATGGATAAATTCGTAGCAAATGAAGATTATGAATAATGATCACGTACCTTAGCCCATCCAGGGTCCACCAGAGTTAGACAAGGTTTGTCTTTACCTCCCTCCGGTCATTAGTCTCGATATTTTGAGCAATATGATCTATTTATATACGTATACATTAGTTAGTAACTTATTTATTGTATACTCAATATTATAAGTTTTTATGGAGATGAATTTAAATAAGAGAATTTTCTTTCAAAATGGAGAATTAATGTGTTCCTCATCTATTGATACAAGTGAACGTTTGGTTCACAGATTTACAATCATGATTCATAATCATTCTCGGTTTGCATGTGTTTATTTTAGAAAAAATACTATAGCGAGCCACGAATCATGATTCAAACCATGATACGAATCCTCATACCAAACACCCTAACGCCCCTCTCAAACTAGTAGCTCGAGAACCGTTAAATGCAAGAAAAACCTTAACTTAATTAAAATGGATAAAACTGTAAAATGAAAAAAAAAAAATCTCTACTATAAGAATAAAATTCTTAGAATTTACAAAGATCACAAATATTAAATCTCAGAATCTTTAAACTGGTCATGGGACCGTAAACCATTTTTGCTCAGTTAGCTGGAACATTAATTGTAGAACTTACCTGCATCATAAGAACTATATAAGCGCCGGCTTAGTAAGTAAACTACACATAATTTTCATGTTTAAAATACTTTTCTTTAATATTTATGGCTCTTTTGTATAACATTAGTCTTGTGTTATTAGAACCTTTTGGCCCTCTTGTATAACATTAGTCTTATATTATTAGAACCTCTTTTAAGTGACCCCTATTTAATTAGAATCTCTCATTCTTTAAGAATTCGACCATTATCACATTTTCAATTAGTTCATAATAAGCGCAAAATTTCACAAAAATATTCTTAAAAATCTCATAAAAACATGTCAATAATTACATATATAAACTAAAAACTATCATTAAATGTATATTACTGTTCAAGTGATGCAGTAGTTGGTTTACTTATCTTAAACTTTTTAAGATAAAATCTAACTCTACTTATTTTTCTCTCTCTATCTCTCCTGTCTTTTTTTATTTTTTATTTTTTCCTTTTCTTTTCTTCTTCCTACTTCACGTTTCCTCTCTTTCAATTAATTGCCGAGCCATATATAAGTAAGAGATGGAAATTATATCACCAACTTGGCGGAAGACTTGCCAACGAATCAATTCATGACAAATCAATTCTTCATGCTTAAGTAATTGACGGGGAAACTCCTTGTGACTTGCACGTGTGGGCTTTCATCCTGATCTATTCCAATTATCCAACAAGAGCTAAATATTAAACTCATAGATTAAAAGCTGTTCTCATATAGTAATTGACACATCATGCTTAGCCTATCAAAACCTATGTAAAATAACTCTAAAGTTCCGTAAACGCTATTTTAATTTCATATCACTTAGGTATACTAGTGCTTGAAAAATGGCGAATATTACATTCTCCTCTTCTTAAAAAAATTATGTCCTCAAAGTTTTGGCAATTCTAATTTCTCCATCTGATCAATTGTCCTCAAATAATTTAAAACCAAATGACATAAATTCAATATTAACTGAGTACTTAGTCTCATGATACTCTCATTATGTCTCCATAATCATGTCTCTATTGTAATGCCCTTCCCAAACTAGCAGCTCAAAAACTACTAAACTCATAAGAAACGTTAACTTAATTAAAATAAATAAAATTGTAAAATGGAAAAAATTATTTCTACTACAAAAGCAATCCTCAAATAAAGTTTTTAGGATTACAAAGATCACAAATTTTAAATCTCAGAATCTCTAAACTAGTCATGAGACCGTGAACCATTTTTAATTAGCCATCTAAAACTTAAATTATAAGGCTTATCTGCATCACAAAAACGATATGAGTGCGGGCTTAGTAAGTAAGCCACAAATAATTTTCACTTTTAAAATACTTTTCTTTAACATTTAAGATCCTTTTGTATAATATTAATCTTGTGTTATTAGAATCTTTTTCAAGTGGCCCCTATCTTAGAGTCTCTCATTCCTCAAGAATTCAACTATTATCATATTTTCAATTGGTTTATAATAAACACAAAATTTCACATTATACTTCAGAAAATATTCTAAAAAATCTGAGGTAAACATGTCAATAATAATACATATAAACTGAAAACTATTATTAAAAAAGCTGTTCTCATATAGTAATTGACACGTCATGCTTAGCTTGTCAAAACCCATGTAAAATAACTATTCCATAAACGCTATTTTAATCTCATATCGCTTAGGTATACTTGTGTTTGAAAAATGGTGGATAGTACACTACAAATGTGTAATTTTGTTTCGCACATTGTGTAAGGTGCATATTTTCTTTTAGGGTTTAATCTCGTAAATTATCTTTAAGGTTTACTTTAAATCCCATTTTGGCTATGACGACCCTCCTTTAAGGCCGCTACTGTAGTTAACTTTTTATCTTATACTTACTGAAATTTCTTAAAAATTTGCAGAACATTTTAAAAAAAAAAATCTTATAGTAAGTATAAGATACGAATTGCTTTCTTAACAAAATATACAATCTTAACATATCTGTTCTTAAAAGTATATAAATATAACTATATATATATATATCTGCTCCTTAAATCTTACTTACTAATAGTCATAATCCTTAAAATCACTTAACATATAGTTTCAGAGTCATAATTAGCAAAACTATTTATAACATAAAACTGATTGCGGAAATACTGCGAGCGGTATCCATTTCCCGATCTCCACATCGTTCGTCCACTCGCCGTCAGTCCATCAGGCATTATATGCCGGTTGCTTACTTATAGTATAAACATTCTATAATGAGCTTTCGCTCAGCAAGTAAGAACTACCTCTCGCAAAATAATTGTAAGTTCACATGAATAAATATGCATGAGCCAATTATGTTGAATTATGATGTCTTATCAAAGTCTTATTATCTTAACTTATCTTCTCTTATCTTTCTTTTTTACTGATGGGCCCGAGTGCTCGTACCACTTGCGCGCAATCATCGGGACTTGAGGGTTTGCAAGGACCCCCATGACACCGAGATTATAACTGAATTGAATGCTTCCCTCTCAGAGGACATTAGTATATATATATTTTTTTCTTCTCCCTTGGGAGTCTGGGTCACCCCCCTCTCAGAGGCTGGTACGACACTCAACTGAGATTATTCTTATAAGTTCTTCTTGACTTATTAAGTGTATGCAGCATGACGTAGCATAGCCTACATAACATTTCATGTACTCAAATACATATAATTCATGTGTACTGTTTATTTTAAAATTATTTATACTGTAGGCGAGATTCCTACTTACTTGATTTTCAAAGCTGAAATCCGCTTTTCGCCTATCAACCTAGTCTCTTGCTTTCTTCTGAAAATGAACACCCATTAAGAGTGTGAGATTAACTGTCATTTGCTATTCTATTTTAGCAACTTATGAAGGAAAACCTAACCTTTTTCATAAGGCATATATTCCTTTCCTTTACTAAAGGATAATAATGATTAATTTATTAAACCCTCAAAATCTTATTTTCCTTAATTTCCCTTGGTATGATATTAAGGCCCAATTCGGCTTAGAACTTATACGTAGCATTCTAACTCTTAAGCTCCTGAAATGTATACTCCAACGGAGTCTCTTAAATTAATGCGGGCGTTGGACCCACATTAATCTTTAAAATTCTACGGACCTATCGTATTGGGCGCGTAGGTGCCCGTCGGGATTATTAGCTCGATAAACCACTAAATTCTTTGAAGACAACAGTTTTTCTTGAAAAAATTTTCTGCGAATACTTTCGTTAAAATGAGGTTTAATACCATCGTATTTTACTGAAATCACATCTTGGGTTATTTGATAACTTTTTGTTAAAACCCACACTGTGTTAGTTTTGTTTCGTTAAAACTGTGCAGTTTCTAAAATTTACATTTTACTATATCTTAGAGTTAGATTTCACAAATTTGTTCTTCGTGACAATTTTTCGTCTCGTCGAGATCTAAAATTATCATTTTTAGAGAAAATTGAAATTCGGCATCTAAAGGCCTCGTTTGGCTAAAAACAGTGGCTGCTGTTTTTTTCTTGAAACAGTTTTAGTCAAAAACTGTGCCATTTTAGAAATCTGTGTTTTAGTACATCTTAGGGTTGTATTTTGAAAATATGTTCTTCATGAAAGTTATTTGTCTCATCGAAATCTAAAATTGTCATTTTTATAAAAAACCATGATTCAGCCTCTAAAAGTCTCGTTTGGCTAAACCAGTGGCTGCAAGTTTTTTTTTTTTTGAAACTGTGTTGGTCAACTTGTTCATTTTTACAAAATGGCCTTAAACTTGCTTTTAGTGTTAAAGTTGGGTTTTGTCCCATTCACAGAAAAATGTTCAAAACATCGAGGGCTATAAGTTCAAGCTTTGAAACACCAAAAAATCTCTCTCTAGGGTCCTCATTTTCGCGTTCAAAGTAACCACAAAATTTTTCCTCTAACCGAAAATAAGCAACTTAGGTCAAATATAAACATACCACATCAAACTAATCTCAAAGCTTTGAAACACCGAAAAATCTCGCTCTAGGGTCCTCATTTTCATGTTCAAAGTAACCGCAAAATTTTTTCTCTAACTGAAAATAAGCAACTTAGGTCAAGCATAAACATACCACATCAAACTGACCTCAAAACTCACAAAACCAACATAAAACTCACACACCCTTATTACAATCTCATCTCCTCAAGAATCACAAATCTACATCCATAAATCCACGCTTAAAGTTGGCTAGAAATTAATGGAGAAGAGTTTAAGAACTTACCCTTGAAGAACTCTCTCTCTCTCTTGAAACCTTTGAACTCCTCTAAGATTTGTTAATGGCTTGGAACTAGAAAGTATAAGGAAATTTGAGAGGACTATTTCTACATTCAAACTTTACTAAAACATGAGAAAGAGAGGATTTAGAGTTTTTTACCCTTGGAGGAATGTTTGACTAGTCTCCTCCTAGAATCCCTTGATCTCCTTCTTCTTCTTCTATTGCTTGCTAGTGGTTTAAGGTTAGGAGAGTGGAAGAAAATATTTGAGAGGAAGTGAAGGGGTGTGGCCGGATTTGGAGGTGGAGAGAAAAGCAAGGAGGGAAAAAAATGAGACCTATCATATGTTGGTCCCTTTTATAGACCACTTTGTGATCATTATTTAACTCCAATTTCCACTCATTATTCAACCAAATTTTTGGTTCAAACCCCCAATCTTGGCCGGTTATGGAAGGAGAAAAGAAGAAGTAATTTTTGTCATGATTTCCCCTTCAACCAGTACTAACCCATCACACCTTACCATGTCATCCACTTGCACACTCAACTAGCTAAGATTTTGGCTCTAATTTACTATACATGGCCGGCCAAAGTGGAGAAGGAGAGAGAAAAATGAAATCTAACCCTTGTACTTTTGTCCACTCCCTTAAGTTACTCATTAAAACTGTTCAAAATTATACTGACAGCTATTTTCTTATGTATGTGTGTACTGGATGCTAGTTCGTACTGTGCTTGGAGATTCTTAAAATTAAGATTCTCAAACTGTATCTGTACTGGAAATTCTTCCGTTTTAAAGTACGGTGAGAATTTATCGATCGAATTTACTTGATCGGAAAAACGTGAACTTAACGTGAAATCTGTTATAGAATTTAGGAATATAGATGTTAATTCCAGAAATCCTTCAACCACAAAATATATATAATATATTTTTTTCAAGAAAATCCTTGACTTAAATACATGAATTACATTATTGAAATTCTGAGATTTTCTTGGTCACTATATTGGCTCCTAATTTTTCAAACGTTCTACAGTTAGTTCTTGAAATTTTATTCTTTTTTAGTAGCGATCATTCCGTTAATTTAGTGTTAAATCTTTAACGAAATCTGTGAAAATTCGAGACGAAAATTAAAAACATATAAAGTTTAGGGGCAAAAATAATACAAAATTTTTTGTTAATTTTTATAAATAATCTCATAATTTCAGCTGTTTCTTAATTTAAATTTATATAAATTCCGTCAAATTTTAATGTCTAGTTAATGAAATGACCGAAATTGAAATAAAATAAAACTTCAGAGATTATCTCTGGAACGTTTGAAAAATAAGGGAGTAAAGTGGGTTGAATGTAAGCCTTAGAGACTGCATGCGTAATTAATCCTTATTTTAGGTATCTTACAGTTTTACGTTCGACTTATACGTGCATGCAGTTGTCTCAATCATCTTATACTCATACAATGAGTGAGGCCTGAAGAGAACAAGCTCCTTAATTTTTCTCCTTCTAGAAAGCCATATTTTTCTTCTTAAATAATTAAAAGGATGTTCTTGGTGATGTTTGTTGAAACTGCATATTAACCTCGTGCTCCTTGCTCCTTTACATCTCAGACTCGGAGGATCACGCTTAGTAGGAAAAATGCAGAATTGAATTTGAGATATTGACTGATGCATGGAAGATCAAAACAGAACTGTTTTTTTTTTTTTTTTTTTTAATGTGATTTTCTTTATGAAAAATTTCAGAATTGTTTTGTTTTAATGTGAGTTCCTTTATGAAAACATGTGTGAAAGACTTCTACTGTTTATGTAGTTTAATATTTCCGCAGTAAAGCAACTCCAATGTGCAAAGTGGATTTTCACATTTTTTCTTGGGTTTAATTTGAGAGTTTGGATATAGCATGTTGAAACAAAGAACCAAAAATATTGTGTGTTACCGGTGTATTAAGGAAAAAGAAAATTCTACAGTGGAGTAATGTTGTTTTGCCCTATTGGTAGAGCAAGTTTTTGTTACTTGTTTGATTAAATTTTAATGGACTAATAATTTATGAGTGGGAACATTTCTTTATCATAGCATCTATTATTTTTAACATAAACACTCATAGATCATGTTGTTAAATTTAATCAGATGACTAATAAACTTTTCTCTGCTGGTAGGATAAAGGAACATAAAATTTTTCTGAGAAAAATGGTGGTAGAGATTTAACAATGCCGTGTCCTTGCCTGCACTACAAGACATGGTCTAGACTCGTTATGTTTTTTTTTTTCCTTTTATAAGAAATAGTATGTTAAAAGTAATTATATTAAATACATAATATTTAAGGATACTGCTAGGGACAATATTTAATGAAAAAAGTTATATTTACCAGACTATATAACTGTCAGATTTGAGACTTTACCTCATAAATTATCGCTGATAATAGTAGAGGGATCAACATCTTGCGCACCAACATTATCAGCTTTGGCTTTCTGTGATTTATAATGATACGTACGATAATAAACAGCAATACTAAAATTTTAAGTCAAGACAGTTGCACCAAAATTTTTTTTAATGAGAACAGTTAATATTCGGCCCCGGTCATAATGTATGATAAATAGCTTCAGCAAGAAAAAAGGACGCTATATATACAGTTACACTACTGGTTCAGCTAAGTCTACACATTCATATATACATATGCGTGAATTTTGCTCAGCTTTCTGATTCAAAAAGTGACGAACTTTATATCTTCATGCCATTGAATTAATTTCCAATGGCGGAAACTTCAGCTTCTTTAACGGGGCTGAAAGAATTTGACGTCTTTTTGAGTTTTGGAGGTGAAGACACTCGTGAAAATTTCACCGCGCATTTATACGAAGCGTTGGTGAAGAACGGAATCAAGACCTTAATGGACAACGATGAGCTTGAGAGAGGAAGAGACATTTCTCTTGACGTCTTCGAAGCTATCAGGAAATTCAAGTCTTGTTTTCTCGGAAAACTATGCCGATTCGAGTTGGTGTTTGGACGAGCTCGCCAGAATTGACGACAGAAAAGAAGAGAAGGGGCTCATATTCTTTCCAGTTTTCTGTGATGTGGATCCGTCGCACATAAGAAAGCAGAAAGGGAGTGTAGAAAATGCTTTTAAGAAGCATGAGAAAAACTTGCAAAATGAAATGGGAAAACTGGAGAACTGGAGGAGAGCTTTAAATCGGATAGCTAACGTGTCCGGTTGGCATTTGACAGATTATATTTACGTAACTCTGTTTAGTAATTAGTTTGTCTTTCATTAGTTGACAACAATATGTAATCTTTGGCTAGCTGTTAGTTGTGTGATTTGATTATATTATTACTGTTAGTTAGTACTCTTTGACGAGTTTAATATAAATCATAAATGATCTAATTAAGCTTATATAATACAAATTACGTTTAAAAGTCTAAAAACACTATAACAAACTTAGAGAAAATATACTATTCCGAAGGGAGAGTATAAAAATAATAAAAAATAAAAAAAGGCAGGTGATTTCGTGGCAACATGGACTGCATGAATCTCTAGTCTCCATCTCTATCAGTGCTTCTAAAGTCTAAGGGCCCGTTCAGTTCGCTGATTTGAGTTTTCAATTCGAGTTGAGATATCACTTTATCTGAGAGCTTTTAATTGTAATAAAAAAGTTAAATGTGACTTTTTGTCAGAGTTTTTAACTGTAACAAAACTGAAATTGAAAACTCGAATCGGTGAAAAGAACGAGGCCTAAACTACGGCCATCTCAATACTTTGTAGGCCTTAGACAAAAACTTTTATGGGGCCTTTTTTTTTTTAAAACAAAAAATCATATACTAAAATTTTTTTAAAAAAATTATAAACTTTCGTATTCCTTATTTGAATGGAGTGTTATTTAGGGTGTTTCATAATTATTGACTAAAAAACTCATATCTGGCACCAAGCTCGAAACCTCAATGAATGTTATACAATTAGGTATTAGAAAAGAGGGAAATATGTCTAAAATTACCATAATGTGGGCACCCTTCTAACATAAATGGCAGTTTTTCCAGTTGATATATTTCTTAATTTCTTGTGGAAGGCAAGAGAGGTTGTGTATGCATATGCTAATTACGAGTGAACTTTTTGGGGTAAACCGAAACTTGAATGTGCAATTTATACAGTTGTCTTGATTTTGAATGGCCAAAATTGTTCTTGTTTTTCGATCCTCCATTTTATAGAATTTAGATAATGAATATGTTTATTTTAGTAAGGAGGCGAAAATGCCAAGAACAAGATAGAAAAGTAGATGGTTTGTCATGGTCTTATACAAATTTATTATTTATGTCATTTTAAATATTTTCTTTTCTTTTATTGATTGAATGGATATAGTTTTTTGAGTGGAGTGACATAAATAATATTTTTTACCATCTTAAATAGTGTTTTTGATTTTTTTCCTGTGTTTTATTTTGGTTCCATGTTTTGGAAAATAATTAAAAAGTGAAGTTTCATTCATTAACTTGAAAAATTAGCAAGTAATCAATGAGAAAAATACGCCATTTCTAACAAAAATTATTAAGACATTTTAGGGGTAACAATCACCAAATTAAAACTTAGTTAACCTCATTTTCTCGCACCTTTTCCTCCTCTTTATGATGTTTTCTTTCTCTTGAATCCATAAATGTAACTATTTTATATATCCTTTAGCTAGCGAACAATGTAGAAAGAAGAAAATTATTACACATAGTTTTCATCTTTATGGCTAAATAAAGATGAACCACAGGCTGTAATTTTGGTTTTTAGGTATTTTTTTAGAGTTGATTAGGTGTAAAACATTTCGTAGTTATTTAGTGCATCTTTTTAATCTCAACCGTTTAAAAATGATCGGGCGGTTGATATTCCGCACCCTACCGGCAGGGAAAAGTACATCCCCTACCATAGATTTAGATAACAAATGGAAGAAGCTTTTTTTTTTCTCGAGAAACTATAATCAATGCTTATTTAAATCTCTTATATTTTTAATTTTATTCAATTATTTTAAATATTAGATTATGTGTCGTCGCATTGAGTCATACTCAAACTGACAATTTTAATTGTTCGTAACCTTGTTGTAAGGGCAAACAAGTATGCCCCACGATAAATTATTAACTTCTTTGTGATATAATAATAGATTTATAAAACAATTGTTTGACATAGGAATCCACCCTACTGATGGGAAATTTGAATCACCAAGGCTTAAACAAAAAAAAATGTTCCTAAGAAAACACTCTTACCAAAGCATCATATTGGGGAGCCAAATCCCCCTACAATAATCTACACGCTTTGAGTTTTTTCTTTTCCTTTTCTTTTCTTGTTTTCGTAAGAAGGTTGTCTCCAACCTTATTTTCTTTCCCACGTAATGTAGCTAGTGCTGGAACTTTGGACATGCCGCCCATGACTGTTCAAAAATACCGAGTTTTTGCCTGAAGCTTGACCCGACCCGCTCAAAAAATTCGGGCCGCCCGCCCAAGCCCGAAATGCCCTTGAACGGGCCGCGGGATTATAAAATAATCAAAGAAAAAATAAAGGAGTTAAAACTTAAAAATAAAAGAAAAATAAAACACCTAAAACTCACTGTTTAGAACTTCCATATGATGATCAACAACTAAATATCTACATTTTACTTTACTTAGTATTAGTATTAGGATTATGATTCAACACGTATGGAAAACAAAAGAGAGAAATAAAAAGTTACAAAAAAATAATAATAAAGCATTGAAAAGAGAGGGGGAAAAAAAGAAGCATCAAAATGGCGCGTACACAACTACATAAAATGAACAGTATAATTTTCACCCATTCTTTTTATATTTAGCATTTACTATTTGGATAAGATAGGATTTAACATTAAAATTATAATAAAAACTGAAAAATCGTAACATATGATGGTCTATAATCTAGGTTATTCTTTTTGTTTTTTTTTTTAGTTTAAGTGTTTGAAAAGGGAAAAAATGAAACAAAAAACGTTGAAAGAAGTAAAGAACCAAAACCATTTCCAAACAAAACAACTCATTTTAGATGACTAAAAAGGAAATAGAGAGCTATGACGGCTCTTTTATATGTGTAGAATAATATTGGTCCCGAATGAGGCAATAAAAAAATGGGTAGGGCATATTTTTGAAATTTCATTTTAATGGGACAAATAGATAATTAGAAAGAAATTTATGAGAACAACTTTTAATATGGAGTATATTAGAGTACCACAGAAAAAAACATCAAAGCAGGATAACCTTTAGATAAAATTTATTTAGGGTAAATAAAAGAAAAAAGTTAAAAAGAAGGGTAAGTAGGAAGAATATAAAATTTTAGAGAAAAAAAGAAAAAGAAAAAAAGAGAACATAAAAAGCCAAAAAAAATCAGCAAAAGTAAAAAAAAAAAAAAGGCTAAAATTGTGCATTGAAAGAAATTTGTGAGAATAATATTTAATATATAGTATATTATAGCACTACCAAAAAATTCTAAATAGCATAATCTTTAGAAAAAAATTAATTGAGGTAAATGAAAGAAAAAAGTTAAAAACATGGAAAGTATAAAGAATATAAAATTTTGAGAGAGAGAAAAAAAAGAACATAAAAAGGAAAAAAAAAAAAAAAAACAAAAACAAAAACAAAAGAAACCATGAAAACCAAAAAAATAAATAAATAAATAAATGTTAAAGCTGTACGTTTTGGACTACCAAAACGCCACAAGCATTTCTACTCTTTTATATAGTAGTGATAGTGACGTTTGACCGCTCCACAATAGAACAAAGAAAGCCACAGAAATAGACCAAAGAAAAAGCACCTTTTTATGAGCTTTTTATATTTTTAATCAAACGAGGAGACATAAAAACCCAAACAAAGGGATGATGGTTGAAACTATGGAGAATTGGAATTTTTTATTGTAATTGAGTCCCCCCCTAACAAAAAGGGCTCAAATTTTAACAGATTAATAATTTTAAGTATAATCGTAATATATTTTAAGTAGACAACTGTACAAAATGTTTTAATAGCTTCACCAAGGACAATGTGTTTGTAAGATATCATTTGAATTCAGATGAATTGATTGCTCGAGATACACACACACATATATATACACTACACGCACAAAAAAGATTAGCAAAAAAAAACTAAAAAACTAAAAAAAAAATCGTGCCGACGAATTGATTTTCAATGGCCGAAGCTTCAGCTTCCTCAACTGAGCCGAAAGAATTTGATGTCTTTTTGAGTTTCAGAGGTGAAGATACTCGCGTAAATTTCACCGCGCATTTGTACGAAGCTTTGGTGAAGAATGGAATCGAGACCTTCATGGACAACGATGCGCTTCAGAGAGGAAGAGACATTTCTCGAGACCTCTTCGAAGCTATCGGGAAATCCAAGTCTGCAATTGTTGTTTTCTCGGAAAACTATGCCGATTCGAGTTGGTGTTTAGAGGAGCTCGCCAAGATTAATGACGAGAGCAAAGAAGAGAAGGGGCTCATAGTCTTTCCGGTTTTCTGTGATGTGAAACCCTCCGACATAAGATGGCAGGAAGGCATTGTAGAAAATGGTTTTAAGAAGCACGAGAAAGACTTCCAGAATGAAATGGGAAAAGTGGACAGATGGAGGAAAGCTTTATATCGGATAGCTAACTTATCTGGTTGGCATTTGACAGATTATAGGTACACAACCCTAGCTAGCAATTTCTTTTTTTAGATGTCGTTGATTTCAACGATTTAAAATTTTAGTTTTAGATTACTACAATTAAAATTTTTTAAAAGATTATACATCTAATTTTTTTTTTGTTATATTTAAAAATTTTATAAAATATGACATTTTAACTCGAATTAAAAGACCTTAATTGTTGTTGTTCATTGTTAATTAGTACCATCTTTGAAGATTTTACTGTAAAGAATCTAATTTTATAGCAATATTAGAAATAGCATCCAAAATGTGTCTTGATAAAATAGATATATAATACAAAACTAATTCCAACTTCAAAAAATAAAAAATAAAATAAAATAAAAAATTGTTCATATAGTTGATTTTGAATGGAAAAAATTGTTCATGTATTTCGATCCTCCATTTTTATAGGATTTATACAAAGGACTGTTTATTTTAGTATGAAGGTGAAAAGTCTAAGAAAAAGATAATAGATATTGTCATGTTTTATTTTGGTTCCATATTCTGGAAAATAATTGAAAGAGAAATTTCATTCATTAACTAGAAAAATTACCAAACGATCAATGAGAAAAGCACTCCTTTTTAACCAAATTAAGACTTAGTTAACCTCAACTTCCTGCATCTTTTCCCTCCTTTATATGATGTTTTCTTTCTCATGAATGCATAAACTACTTGTGTAAATCTATTGACTTTCAGTGTAGTACTATATATATTGTAGAAAGAAAAAAAAAAAAGGTTACTTGTATGTGTTTTTTTCATTATGGCTGCTGGGCTTGTTGGAAAACATTTGAGTTGATATCTTTTATAGGAAACAGTATCCGGATGCCATTCGGGATATCATTAAAAAGATTTTGGAAAAGTTGCACCCCAAGGACATAGTTGGAATGGATTCTCGTATTCGAAATTTCGAGCCTTTCTTGAATTGCAGATCAGGAGAAGTTAACAAGGTCGGGATTTGGGGAACGGGAGGGATTGGTAAGACAACTTTCGCTGAAGAAGTTTTCAAAAGAATCCGCGGCGAGTTTCAAGCTAGTCACTTTGTTTATAGAGTCAGGGAAGAATGTGAAACGGAAGATGGTTTGACTCGTTTAAGAAAAGAACTTGACGAAAAATTATTGAACAAGAAAGCTTCGATGAAGGCGCTTATCGTTCTAGATGATGTCGATAATGCAACACAAATAGAGGCTCTGGTTGGGCAGGTTGGCTCAGGAAGCAAAATCCTCATAACAACGAGGGATGAGAACTTGTTGAAGGATTCTGGTGTTAGAGATGTGCATGAGGTCGAGAAATTAAATGATAAGGAAGGTCTTCAGTTGTTTTGCGCGAAAGCATTCGAAGGGAAACACTATCCTCACCGTTTTTACGAAGAACTATCGAAGGAATTCGTAAATTACGCCGATGGTCTTCCTTTGGCTCTTGAGGTTTTAGGCAATTATTTACGGCTTCACAAAAGTGAAAAAGAATGGAAAGGAGAACTAAAACGTTTACGGGAAACTCCTCATGAGGGCATTACTAAAGTGCTTCAATTCAGTTATGACGCACTAAATTACCAAGCCAAGGAAACCTTTTTAGATATCGCGTGTTTCTTTAAAGGAGAGGACGAATCTCGTCTGATAAAGATATTCGAAAGTTGCGATTTTCATCCAGACAGCAGTCTAAGTGTCCTCGTTGCTAGATCACTAATATTTGTTACAGGAGGAAAAGTATGGATGCATGATTTAATTCAACAAATGGGATCGGAAATTGTTCGTAAAGACCATATTAGCGATCCAGGGATGCATAGCAGGTTGTGGCGTGACAGGGATGCCCTTCGTGTGCTTCAAGAGAATATGGTATGGCATATTGATTGAAACGAGAAATATTTCTTTCAAATTTTCCTGAACTTTTTTTTTTTTTTTTTTTGAAAATGAAGTTTTGCCAAACAATTGACCAATTAGTAACTACATGTACTCTACTATATGAACATTATTTCTTTGTTTGTTATTATATGATTATTAGTTAATCATGAACGCACGCAATTAGTTTTCATGTTGGAGCAAAAATGTACTTCCTTTAAAAATACCTCTAGTTAAAGTACTTCATTCAAAGCATATCATCCTAAAATAAGAACATTCACATTAATTGACTGGTATTCGAAGTCATTATTAATTCTTTTTACAAAAAAAAAAAAAAAAGGTAGGATATATTCTCAAATTAGATGAGAATTAACCTTAAAATTCACGTAGCTAGCGAACCAGAATGCTTTCACAGAAACATGCATTCTTTTAGGTTGCAAAGAAATTAAGTAGAACATTTTTATTCATTTTATGAAATAAAGTAACTACGTACGTAATCACGATTAAATTTAAAAGACAATATAAAGATTAAATGCCAATGTAAAGAACAATATAGGATTTTTTTTTTTTGCTTGAGAAAAGAGCAGTATGGTTTACTTCTCGTTTGTAACAATATGACAAGATCAAATAAATAAAAGTAAAGAAAAGTACTATAGTTAATTTCTCTACCATAGGAAAAAAAAACAAAAAAACTATTGAATGTATAATGAGTCTAAATTTAATTTTTTTTAGTTAATAAGGAGTCCAAATTTAGTGGCTAAGCTAGCAATTATTTTCAGTAGGAGTCCTATGAAAAATATTAGTAGGGGAGCATTCAATTGAAATTTTAGAAAAAAAAAAAAGGAATAAGAATCAAATTTCCTAAATTTTGGAGTGGGGTTAATGTGCCTCCACCAGAACGAGTAAGAATAGTAATTAATAAATAACAAATTACATAATACGTACTTTATGTAGTCAAGTTCTTTCCTAACCATTCTCAAGCACTTTTGATCCTTTTTTTTTTTTTTTTTTTTTTTTTTGGTAAAAATATTT